GTCCATGCAATCAAGCTAAATAAACGTCTATTCATCATTCACTCCTCATAAGAATATATAATAATGTATTATATACACTGATATATATGATATGTGTGTAAACATAATAATATTAGATATATGACTATATATATAGTTATATATCTATATTATATATATATATATAATGTTATAATGATCATTTAGCTGCTTTGATGGCAATTCATGATATTTTATATCGCGATGATTTTTGACCACATTGTCAGAGCAGTTGCGTACACAGAGCAATTTAGACACACTATCAGGGAGGATCCTCATCAATAGATGTACTAATTTAAATCTAATTAATCTAATCTATCTATCTTGATCGTCTAATGTATAAAGACTATCTATATTATACATCCTGATACATTACATGTGTTCGTGGGCGAAAGTTCACGGTTTTTTAACCGGACCCAGAACCAAACGTGCGCGTGCCTCTGCCCTCAAGGAAAATGAGTTAGACTGCCTTCCTGACGTGTATCCCATGACAGTCTCATTCTGATATCCCGTAGCGCTCCTTTATTTCGTTGCATTAGGTAATTGAAACTTCACATCGGAAATCGAACATGAACGCGACAATTATGCGTCGCTGTATTTTTACACCTTCTAGAAAAGGTTATTATCTTATAATTATTAACATTGTCAGCAGATGTAATTAATGAATAAACACAAGACTTGTAAATTATTAAATCACCGCATCTACGTGTATTACATTCCTAATTAATAACTATATGATACTAATATCTAGGAGTGGAGAAATATATGGATTCTTATTTAGGAGTAATAATCTCATTATTATTCACTCTTGATAATATATACTTATACATTTATAATACTATAATATAATTAAATACGCGATACACCATGAATGCCGTTGGAGGAGGGAGGAGGTCTACTGAAGTTACCGTAGTTAATTATTGAGTCCGCAGGACCTTTTGCAGCGGCTGCGGTCGTGCTGATGGCAAAATGGGGCACGAACAATGGAACAATGGTCAATGGACAAGGTCCATGCCGTCATGGTGTGTTCATGCTTGAGCCACTTCCAGTCACGGATTACTCGCCTTTAAGACAAGACAACAGCTAGCGTGGCTAGGACGTAGATTGAGGTTACCAGTCGTGAATAGAACGAACATCATCTCTAACCGCGTTGATGCTACCGTTTAAGGAAGGATGTGTTTGCAAAAGCACGACGCATTACAAAACTGGCACCACATACGAGCGTCACAACACACAGCAAACACCAACACACACACACACACACAGCACACACCACACACACACAGCACACACACCACCACACACACGCATACACACACACAACACACACAACACACACACACACACAAACACCACGACCACGCACACACACACACACACATAGCCACACCACCCATACCACACAGCACACACGCACAACATACACACAACACACACATACACACACGCACACACACACAATACACACACACACACACACACACACACACACACACCAATACACGCACGCACTCACGCAACAACACCACCACACACACACACACAGCACACCACACACACACACACCACACACAAACACCCCCCCCCCCCACACCACACACACACACACGGCACGCACGCACGACACACACACACACAACAACACACACAACACACACTACCAACACACACACGACACCATACACATACACACACATGTACACATAAACACACAAATATGCAAAATACACAACTACCACTCAGGAGATCAGCCAAACAAGCTCTATTAGCTAGATTTCCGTTCTATCAGGTGTTAATAAAGACAAAATTTGTCTTTATTAACTCCTGGTTCTATGGATATGTCACCTAACACAGGTTATTGACTGTACTGTCTCTATACGTCAGCCAGATTGATACTAACACAGAAGTAGTGAGATCGGGAGTGACAGATAGTCTAGGTTGGCTGTCCTCTGTAATTATCAATGAAATACGGAAGTCCAATGTCGTTACCTTCTTAAAATAATGGCCTAATTAAGTCATATTTTCAAGTTTTGAGAAAAACAGAAAAATATTAACCAAATATTGAATATATGACATTTATTAATCATTTCACACAGAAAGGTTTGGGGATATATGACTTTTGAAATACACATAACGCTGTCTGTCAAATATGTTACATATTATGTTAATTAGATGACTTAGGCCAATTTACGAACATGCCGTTGTGACTTAGGCAATTTTACACCGGACTTAGGCCAAATTACTTCTGGAGTAAGTGACTTAGGCAAAATATTTATTCCCATTACAAACAATATAGTTGAATAAAATTAACTCATTTCCATTTAAAACAATTTCTCCCCTGAATCTTCATTCTCAATCGTCTTGATTGATGCCTATTTATGTGGCAAAGTGTCGAAGAAGTGATGAAACTCGACGGGCTTTTCAATAAGAACTTAGGCCATTTTACCAGAGGTGGCCAGCATCATGAAGAGACGACTTAGGCAAAAATATAATTTTTCTCAAAAAGTGACTTAGGCTATTATTTTAAGAAGGTGACGATGTACATCACCATCGTTAGGGCTAAATGTAATTTTCGGAAATTTAAAACAATTTTGCATTTTTTAATTAGAGTTTTAAATCAAAAATCTTAAAGTTTGATTTAAAATTTTGACACTGATTTTTGACCTTAAAGTAGAGGTTTGCATTTTTAAAACAACCATGCCCGTTGCAATTTTTTTAAATCGTTGCGCAAAGATAGAACAATAGGCGACGTACGCGCTCTCCCTGGCAACCATAAACATAGACCCAACATATTTACCCCGCGTCAAATTTCATGTTTGCCGTGACGGAAGTTAAGCGGGCAGACACACTCAAGTGACACTTTGACATCTTCATACGTTAGGGGGTTAAACGCGCGCCTGACCGGACTTGGGCCTATAGACATACAGGAAGACATGCGGGTCCTTATTTACGAGGCGTTGAAATCTGGAACAAGGTACACACGCTACCAAGCCCCGCATCATGAAAATTTATGCGAAACCGGTTTTATTTTAGACTGACACCACCAGGTTTGCACGGGGTGAGATAGGAAGGAGGACGGGGCGGACCGGTTTGTGACGCTGTACAGAGTGGGGGCAGTCCAGACTCACCATGCATCCATGCTTCTAGCTAGCGGGCGAAGTTATTACGCGCAGAGAGAGAGAGATAGAGAGAGCGAGAAAAATATATATATAGAGAGAGAGAGAGGGAGAGAAAAAACAAAAAGAGAAGACCCGAGAAAGACAGATAGAGAAGAACAGACAGATAGACGGAGAAAAGCCGAGAGAGACAGACATAACGAGAGAGAGAGAGAGAGATCTACATAATATTATATATATATATATATATATATATATATATATATATATATATATGATATAATATGTAGTATTATATATATTATATTTATTCGAAAAAGTAAGAAATTCTATTATTCTTCAAGTTGCACGAGAAACCACGATGGATTACTGTTATAAATCGACTGTAATATATAATATATAACTGACTTAAACACGTTATGTTAATGAGTGAGAAAACATTTTTATGAGTAACTAACGTTTTACTTTCTGTAAATGCCTTAGTAACCGAGATATCGCGCACATGTCCAAGAATTGTATTTCCTTTTAGCAAAAACCTTAGAAACAGGGATTTTAGCAAACGCATTAGAAACAGAGATTTTAACGAACGCTTTGGAAACCGCGTCCTTTCAGCTAATGCATTGGTACACGGAGACAGCACGCTTTTCTTTCTTTCTTCTCTTCTTATTTCTTCTCTTTTCTTTCTTTCTTCTTTTATCTTCCTTCTTCTCTTCTTCCCTTCTTCTTTTTTCTTTCATTTTTTAAACAAAAATATTCTTTTTTCCTTTCAGCAAAACCAATTCCTCCGAGACCAACGAACAAACCGTTGCCGACACCGACGACATCCAAACCACTGCCGCCCGTCACAACACAAAAACCGTCGCCACCGACGACGACAAAACGACCGACGACCACGCGTCGACCGACGACCACGCGTCGACCGACGACCACGCGACGACCGCCGACGACGACCAAACGGACGGAGCCGACGCGGCGACCGACGACGCTGGCAACAACGACAAGAAGAACAAACCCCAGAACAACTAGACCGCTGCCGCCACTGCCTCCGACAACAATAGCAGAGCCATCTAGCAAGCCGTACGTTGATGTTCACTTACTTTAATGGATTGTTATTGTTATTGTTACTGTTATTATTATTATTATTATTATTATTATTATTATTATTATTATGAGAGAGAGTAAGAAAGAAAGAGAGAGAGTAAGAAAGAGAGAGTGAGAGAGTAAGAAAGAAAGTGAGATATATAGAGGGAAGAGCCTGTGGCATACCTGTGGCATACCTGTGGAATACCTGTAGCATTCCTGCCGTGATCGTGCGCTTACTCACTCATGACAACAACACACGAACCGGAGACGGACACCACATGAACGAGAAGCAAGCATCCTTCTCTACCTTCCTCTCTCTCATCGCTGGAGCACCGTCGAGAGTTGCATACAGTGACAGTGACGGGGGCAGACGTGCCCCGAGGCGGCTGTAAAAGCGGCGGCGGTGGATGTACTGATGCGTGTGCTGCATGAGTGTGTATCCGCATAACTCGCATGCTTCCACCTGTGAGTGAGCGCACATGCACAGAGAGAGAGAGAGAGAGAGAGAGAGAGAGAGAGATCTATCGCCTCTATCGCAATCGTCAACGAAGCGTGGACAGGGTAAAGGAGTTAAAACTCACAACGAGAGAGATATCAGAAACGTAGGCGACTGCAGCGACACCTGTCGCGGACCCCTTGCTGACAGAACTCTACGCGGTTGCCAGTCGTAGACGTGATTGGCGGTGGAGACGGTTCTCTGGGAAAGAAAGCAGAAACTACGCGGATGTTGTGTGAAAGACGTGGTGGTTCCATTTACG